CAAGGCATATGGTATGTCTTATGGAGAAAATACAGGATTACAATAAGCTTCACTCATTTAGGTATAACTTGAAGTGTTGATCCTTGTAAGCTCAATTATTTTAAATAATTAAAAATACATATTAAGTAAAAAGTATTTAATGAAAAACATACATAAAACAAGATTAAGTATTGATATGTTGACCAAAATGTGGCCAATGGCTCACAAGAACTCAGCCTTGTGTTTCCGCTACAAGTAGTAGCTCAGTGTTTGCCAGCTCAGGTTTTGTGGTGACTTTATATAACATAACTACCATGAGCAGTGAGAGTCAGCTACATAGAGCAACCTACTTATCTGGCACCCAATTCTTACTAAAAGATATACTCCTTGTACATCATTAGGATTTTCACCTTAACGTTGTGTCTTAGTCACTGTTCTGTTGTTATGAAGAGGCATCATGACCAAGGCAAATTATACAAAAGAATGCTTTTAATTGGGGACTTGTTTACAATTTCAGAGGGTTAGTCCATTATCATCACAGTGGGGAGCATTGTGGTACACATGGTGCTGGAGCAGTAGCTCAGAGCTACATTCTGATCCGAGAGAGAGAGAGAGAAAGAGAGAGAGAGAGAGAGAGAGAGAGAGAGAGAGAGAGAGAGAGAGAGAGAGAGAGAGACTGGGCCTACCTTGGGCTTTTGAAATCTCAAAGCCCACCCCCAGTGACACACCTCCTCCAGCAAAGCCACACCCACTTCAACAAGGCCACACCTCCTAATCTTTCCAAGCAGTTCACCAACTGCTGACTAAGCACGAAAATATACAAGCCATGGGGGCCATTCTCATTTAAACCACTACACATTGTTTTGGAAATAAGCTCAGACACCATTGGAAACATCAATTCTATTTGTATAAAAGTTTTCACTATTCCTTTATCTGTGGGCACAGTTCCTTGAGAATTGAGCCCTCTGGAATGACCAGGTTTCCATAAAGCCTGTGAAGTTCTCTATATAGCAGAAAAATAGCTAGCACCTCTTTAGCAGTAAAGGGGCAGTCTGGCACCAACAACCATGTGATTACAAATCATTGCATGTGACACCCATTAGTTACTCTTCAGTTTCTGTGATCATGTGCCATGGCCAATGCAACTTCTAGAAGAACAAGTTTATTTTGGATTATGGTTGCAGAGGAATAAGAGTGTTCATCATGGTAGAGAAATATGGCAGTAGGCAGCAGGCATGACTTCAGAGCAGGAAGCAATAGCTCACACACTTTACCATAAGCTAAGGCAGAGAGAGCAAACTGGAATCTCAAAGCCCACCTCCAGTGACACTGTTCCTCCAGCAAAGCTACCTGGACCTCCTAACCTCAACCCCAAATCAGCACCAGCAACTTGGAACCAAGTGTTCCGATTCCTGAGTCTATGGGGGACATTTCTCACTCACACCACCACAGTTGCCATGCTGAAGTGGCAGTACTATTCTAAATATGCTCCCATGCACAGTTAGATGCGGGAAATCTCTGCAATGGTCCAAAAGAGGGGAAAAGTGCAGAATTTCGTTTTCCTTCCTGTTGTAAAAGGCCAAAAGTAGAATTAAAACATGATGCTAACGTTCCTAGAGAAAACTGAGCACAAACAATAGCATCAAGCCAACTGAGCAGCAGATTTTTAAACCCTAATATGAAGATTTTAAAAGGGAAGCTGTTAAATCTCTCTCTGTTCTAAGTGCCTTAGTAATTAGGATTTCTGTAGAAAGAAGCAATAAGATCCCCCATGTGTCTGTAATTGTATGTACTTTAGCAGACTTTTATGATTTTCTTAAATTCATTTCCATCCTTTCTTAGTTTTTTCCAAGGGTGTTAAATATTATTAGTGTTGTCATGAACAGAATTCTTCCCATTTTAATTTTGAACTAGGGATTACAAGTATATGAGTGAGTTAATTTCTGCATCTTCTAATTTTCCTATTATGTTCATTTAGAATTCAACTCAAAGAGAACACGTATAAAATATGAGTGACGGTTCTGCTCCTTTTCAACACTGACGCCGTAATTTGACCCAAGTTAACTTAGTGTCTGAGCTAGGCTTTCTGTTGCTATGATGAAACAACATGACCAAAAGCAAGTTGGAGAGGAAAGGGTTTATTTGTCTTCCACTTCCACATTACTGTTCATCATCAAAGGAAGTCAGGACAGGAACTCAAACAGGACAGGAACCTGGAGGAAGGAGCTAATGCAGAGGCCATGGAGGGGTGCTGCTTATTGACTTGCTCACCATGACTTGCTCAGCCTGCTTTCTTATAGCTCACAGAACCACTTGCCCAGGGTGGCAGGGGTGGCACTAGCCACAGTAATTATCTAAGTATTCCCACATCAATAGTCAATAAATTGACTGCATTTTCTCAATTGAAGTTCCCTCTTTGCAAATGACTCTGGTGTGTGTCGAGTTGATATAAAACTAGCCAGCATACTCAGACTAAAATTTTAAAGGAAATTATGTAGTGGCAGAGAACTTTGTTTCTTCATTATAATGTACCATCTGAAGCCATATTGTAAGAATGGCATTGGTAGCTGAGTTTAGAAACTTACATGACTTAAATGGAATGCTACTCTTTACCTAATATATTAAACGCTTTTGAAAATTCAAAGATGTTAAATGTCACTCTTTTTTAATCACCCCATCATCTGCATTGTATTTTGAGCAATGAATTTTAGATACTATTAATAAATATATTAAAGTACACTTGCTTTCTCAGATAGAACATGGGAATCTACATCATATATATTTTTATTCTTAGATGCAGTAAATTTTTAATGGTAAATAACATTTCAGCAAGAAAGAAAACTTTCTACAAAATATGTATATATGAACTATAAGATGCTTTTCAACTTCAAAACATAAAAAATGTACATAGCTTAGAAATAAAGGAATAAGAGAAAACACTCTAGAACTTAAACTTCAAGCTTTTTGCGGTGCAGGGGGGTTGTTGAGACAGGGTTTCTCTGTGCAACAGCTCTGGCTGTCCTAGAAGTCACTTTGTAGACCAGACTGGCCTTGAACTCACAGAGATTCTCCTGCCTTTATCTCTGAGTGCTGGGATTAGAGGCGTGCTCCACCACCACCCAACTTCAAGCATTTGTTTTTAATTTTAGCAATGGTCTTCATGAATGACTCTGAAGGAAGCCATTTTGCTCACCTCCATGTTGGATTATAGCCACTGTCCCCCATGCCCAACACACATGTCTGAAGGTGTGTGCTAGCCTTTTCCAGCATCTGTTACGATGTCTCCCACCACAGTTTACAGCATTGGTTAGATTCAGTCTATAAAGCAGTAGCAATCTGTCAAGTTAAGCAAATTCTGTTTAAGAAGGAAAACATCCAACATCTCTTGATACAAACACACACAAAAGTTTAGAAAATACAGTGGAAGAAAAGACACCCTTTTAATTGATAAAACATAGGTATAAGTTCAGTAATATATCCACTAAATGTAATTATTATTATTATTATTATTATTATTATTATCATTATTACTATTATTATTTGTCTGTGTGTTACATGATGTGTGGCCACACATGCCACAGCATTCATATGGAAGTCATAGGACAGCTCTGTGGAGTAGATTCCTTCTTTCTATCTTTACATGAGTTCCAGGAATCAAACTCAGGTCTTAACACCTTTACCCAGGGAGTCAGCTCACTGGTCCTAATCCACATAATTTTAAAAGAGAAAACTATAAAGTTCTCTTAAAGAATATGGTAAAAGGGAAATCCTTTGATTCTAGAGCAAAAAAATATTATTATTAAGAGGTTACCAATAAATTGATTGTGACCATCTCCCAACAATGCTTTTCTTAAATTTGGGGCAGTGGTGGCTGTGGAGAGTGACCAAACTGTTCTCATGTGGAAGCTGAGAACAACTTTCAGGAGCTGATTTGCTTCTTGTTCTTAAGGCAAGATCGATCTCTCTCTCTCTCTCTCTCTCTCTCTCTCTCTCTCTCTCTCTCTCTCTCTCCCTCCCTCCCTCTCCCTCTCCCTCTCCCTCTCCCTCTCCCTCTCCCTCTCCCTCTCCCTCTCCCTCTCCCTCTCCCTCTCCCTCTCCCTCTCCCTCTCCCTCTCCCTCTCCCTCTCCCCTCTTTCTGTCTCCCTAACAAGGTGCTCATATAGTCCAGGCTAGGTAGCTGGTCTGCAAGCGTCCAGCCAATTCTCCTGTATCTTTTTCCCAAATCACCTTTGGAACTCTGTCATTACAGATGCAAACCACTGCATTGCTGTTGTTACTGTGTCTGTGTATGTGCACATGCGTGCGTGCGTGTTAATGTGGATTCTGGGTATCAAATTTAATTTAGGTGTTTAGGTTGCTAGGATTGCATAGGGGATGTTTTACCTGCTGAGCCATCCCCCCAGTCCCTACCAACAAGTTTTATTTTCATTTTATAATTTTATCATTTTGTTTTTGTTTTTGTTTTTTTTTTTAGGTTTTTCGAGACAGGGTTTCTCTGTGCAGCTTTGCGCCTTTCCTGGATCTCGCTCATCTAGACCAGGCTGGCCTCGAACTCACAAAGATCCGCCTGCCTCTGCCTCCCAAGTGCTGGGATTAAAGGCGTGCGCCACCACCGCCCGGCTCATTTTGTTTTTTAAATGCCAATTGAATATTTTAAATTAGAGAAAAAAAAATCTAATGGTGCAATGGGAAGATAAACACAATGGAACAGTAAGAAAGTTCTAAAAAAAGTAACAGATGACTCAATCATCATAAAAATGTATTTTTACAATAAACAGTTTAGTATTATCATATTTTATACAAATGAATTAATAAAATATGATAAAGAATCTAAAACAGCCAAATCTATTTAGAAAAGTTAGTGCATGAAAATGTTATGCTAAAATCAGTGAAGAAACAGAAATTGTTCAGTTAAGTTATATCTGGAAGATGGGCCAGTCATCTACAAAATATTAAAGCTATGGATGTTACAGATCGCTCTGGGAATCAAATATTCTAAGAACCTGAAAGGTTGAGAAGAATACACACAATCAAAGTATTTATGGTGTCCGTTTTATTTTTATTGTTTACAAATGGAGCAGACGAGGTCTTACAAGAACCTACTGATTTTTTTAAATGATCACAAAAATCAAAAGTTACCGTGTTTCCTGGACCTTCGAGAAGTTAGTTGATGTGCATGTCCTCTTTATGGCTGTGCACTCAACAGTCAATTATTCTCAGCACTTTGACCACTTAAGAGTCTGTATTCGCTGCCTCCCACCGCAAAAAGAAGCTTCTCTGATCATAGAAGATGGCAGGAGGATTCATCCACAGGAATAAAACAGAAACACTTAGAAGGCAACTTGACAGGCACGCATGTCTATTTACCAAAACAACAGTAGTATCTTCTGTACTAGAGCCAATGCCTTCCTCAGCCACAGGATTTTGACCAGGTTTACAGTACCAGGGCGTGAATTCTCTCCCATGGAAAGGGGTTGGTTACCCATGTAACATTCTTGTTACTATTGCATCAATGGACATATCTTGAAGGAAGCTTCCAGTGCAGTTCCAGCTTGTCTTTTCTCTGCCCAAAAAGCAAAGCATGTGGTATCATCAGCAATAGTGTCCTAACACTTAGTACTGGTGAGAAACCAAAAACACAAACTTTTTTAAAAATCTTAAACAATTAGGGCAGGGGTTCAATCCATTTGAACATGTTATATGTTCACAAAGTCAAAGATAAATCTCTAAAACTTAAAAGAAGTGCAGAGTTACTAGCCAGTCAATTAAAAGTGTTTGCCATAGATAAAAGGAATTTATATGGAGTTACCCTATAATGGAGGAATAATATCCCAACTACACACCATATGATAGCAGATAAAACCCTGGTACCAGGAATGGGTGGCAACGTTTTGAGATTTGGGCCAATGAGGCCCCTAACATTACAGGCTATTGCCAATGTCATTGGTTACCCTCCACAACTTGATGGTAAGACTCCACATACATATGCCATAGACTCCATAGAACATGGAGAAATCTGGTACTCAGCTGGTACTCACCTTCATCCTTACTAGCTAGAAAATGTGCTAGAAAATGCTAAATTCAGTAACAGAAGAGAAAATCATCAATTTCACCCAGATATGAATCCTGTGTGAACAGCAACCTGCCTGGCAAAATATCTGCCCACTGGTGCAATAGAGACATGAATGTTATGGGAGTAGCCAACAACCTTTTGGTTGGATTTAAGGCCCACTCCATGAAGTGGAACCCATACCTGACTCCAATGAAGTCTAGAACCTGAGGTTTGATAAATAATGGGCCCTATGGAAAAGCCACTACAATTATTCTGCTTAATGAACACAGTAATAAAAGTAACTCCTAATGGCACATTGCTATATCCATAGATTCGTGCATTGCTAAACTCTCAACGTAGAAGCTCCTTCTTGCCCTAGATGGCAATTGAAAAAGAAAACTGCAACTAGTCAACGAACAGAGAATAAGATACTTGAGAATGCTCATCCCTCAATGGAATGTCTATATAGTGCCTTTCCCCTCAAGGCTCAGAGATCTGGGTAAAAGATGGAACAGAAAGAATGGAAGAGCCAGAGGTTGTAGATAACTTCAATGACAGCATTTTCCAGATACAACGGGACAGATGTGCATAGAAACTCACAGAGACTATGTGTCTTAGGGTTTCTATTGCTATGATAAAACACTGTGACCAAAACAACTCGTGGAGAAAAAAGTTTATTTGGCTTGCATGTCACAGCTCATTGAGAGAAGCCAAGGCAGGAACTCAAACAGGGCAGGAATGTACATGGAGGCAGGAGCTGATGCAGAGGCCATGTGGGGGGGGGGGGTGCTGCTTCCTGGCCTGTTCCTCACGGCTTGCTCAGCCTACGTTCTTATAGAAACCAAGACACCAACCCAGGAGTGGTACCACCCACAATACAGTGGGCTTTCCCCCATCAATCACTGGTTAAGGAAATGCCCTATGGACCTGCCCACAGCCTGATCTTATGGAGACATTTTCTCAGTTGAAATTTGCTTCTCTCAAATGACTCTAGCCTGTGTCAGGTTGACATAAAACAAGCCAGCACACTCTGACAGACAGCACAAGAGCTGCAGAAGCTCAAGCCATACAAAATCCAAACTGGAGCTGGGGAGATAGGCAGAAAGTCCCACCCTAAGGAAGTTCTACTCTTAGCTAAACAGCTATTGGCATTTGACCACTGCTGGGTGAGGGAGAGTCAGTTTTCTCCAATCGAGTGACACTGAGTACATCAGCCACAGGGCAGGCGCCATGCCAGAGAGTAGTCGGTCAACATAAACTGAACTCCACGTTTTCATATTTTTGTTACTGTTGTTTTTAAAGGGAATATGTTTTTGGGTAGGTAGGAAGGTGAGGGATTGTTTGGAAAGACTTTGGGGAGAGGAAAAATAAAATCAAAATATATTTACATGGAATTATCAAAGAATAAATAAAAACCTCATTTTTTTTTAAAGAAAACATTTGGCACAGATAAACAGGGTTACTGTCTCCAGTTAACAAATAGGGGAAAAGAAACAGGTTAAATAATGTGCCCATGGTTATTCTTAAAAGGAACATATTTCTTGGAAAGTTAGAGTAAATGCCTGGGAAAACTTTAAATGTGCACAAACAGGGGAAAGCCCAATAAATAAATTATTGGCACCGAAGCAATGTTACAGGCAGAAAGAAGCAGAGAAGTCATTTGAAGGTTAGAAAAGAGAAGGGTGGGGTGTGCTGACACACAGCCTCTTACCTGAAGGATCCTCTCCTTCTCTCTAGACAGACAGACAGCAAACTAATGACAGGATCTGTTTGGATGACTTTTATGAAGGTCTTGGAAATTTTTCTTTTTGGTGGGCAGTCTTTTATAGTATATAAAAATCTTGCCATATGAATCTCCTTTACCAGTTAAAACATTCAGTTTACTTGGAAGCTGGTTTTGGCACAGCAAGTGCTGTTTGTCTATATCCAGAGTCATAACTCTCCAAGGATCCTGAAGATTGGGTGTCACTCTATTTCTGTATATTTATTTGGACAATTTTTTTAAACTTCATTACAAACTTAGGTCATTTGAAAAATGAAGTTAACTGCTTTCATTACTTAAGCTAATCTTGAAATATAAGGAAACACACTCGCCAAGAACTATCATTGAGCAAAGGAGCTGTTTGGGTCTGAGCACTCAGGCACAGGGACAGGCCCCTTTCCACACCTAATTTGTTTGCAAGAAACTAAGGAGAATGCAGGTCTTTCCCAATGACCTTTACATGCAGCTTTCACCCTCGGACATCCCTTAAGGGCCTGGCAGCCCTCCTTCCCTCTCCATTCAGAAATCTTTAATGTGCCCTTCCTTGGGAAAACTGCTTCATACACAATGTACAAACACTGGACTTGACTCTATTTCTGAGTGAATGTCTCCTTCTCACATGTTTAAGTCTCTCTCTCTCTCTCTCTCTCTCTCTCTCTCTCTCTCTCTCTCTCTCTCCTTGGAAAGAAAAAGGAAATTAAAATTTATTATGATGAAAATCCTGATGATGTAATCTGTACTTAGCAGGCTGAGCTAAACTCTTGAAAATCTCTTTTGGCGTTGACACTTGGGCACTGCCCTGCTAACTCTACAGTCCTGGGGATTTTCTGGGTGAGGAGGGAAGCTATGGAAACCGGCGGTACCAGTGAAAAGCCCGTTCCAGGAAGCACGCAGAGGGGCTTTGGCTGTGGGAAAATGGACACTCTGGAGGTAATAACGCTTGGGGTCCACGGAGAATAATGATTGGTTTGTGTCCTCAGAAGGTGACGCTGGATCCCTTTATACAAAGCCAAATCACACTGACAGGTCACAGAGAGGTTTCACTCTAAATGTCAAAAGGGCAGGCAAGAGTCAAATTAGAAGCCATATCCCTTTAGACGTAGTGATGTCTTCTCACAGGCACTCACACAGAATTTTCTATTATTCTTGTCCCACTTGGAGAATTAACCTGAACATCTTATGCAGATCACAGTTCAAATTGCTCAGTTGTTTTCAGGTATTCCTAAAAGCAGCAGTGAATTGAGAGCCCTTCTGAGCCAATCACTACAAACTTCAGACAGGGCATGTAAATCCCAGGTACATATCTGATGTGCCTCACTAGAAACAGAAATAGAGCTAGCGTGGATGTATGTTAGACTGTGTCCATGTTTGACTACCGTGCTTCTAACACGTGTGAAGAGCAACAGATCGTAGTTTTCCAGTAAGCCTGGTATATGTAAAGGCGAGATGGGGCACTGCCACCCAACACTTAGAGTGGTGTCATGTTGGTACAGACATCCTTAGGAATTACTAGTAACAGAAGATTACCAATAACACATCCGTTTCTGAAATTAGCCATCTTTAATGCATCACTAAAACCTAAAACTAGCCAGATCTTCATTGAATGGCACTCATCTGTTTCATCCACCAATCACAGTGTTGTAACATCAGAAAGGCCAGGATATTTTGTTATTAGTTCACTCTTTGGGCACCTTTCTTAGAATGTCTTGCCTCTCTCTTTATAATGAGTCCCAAATATGTCCAAATGCATTGCTATAACAACCCTCACATAAGACAATTCTCCATAGTACACATATTTACCACACTTCTTAAATGCCAATTTCTTTTAAACCCTATATTTTAACCAAATGACATGAGTTAAATTCAATATGTATGTTTTGAGTACTAGGATACACAAACTTGGAGTAAATCTCAAAAGACTCCATGAAGCTGGCTACATTACACCCAGATTGAGGCAATAGACTAAGGAAAGGTCAGCATTAGAATTATTGCTTACAGAATAAATGAATCCTTTGGAACAATCAAAGTTACCAGTGGGAAATCAAGGATATATATTCGGGCATAGTGAATGATTGAGATGAGACAACCCTGTGCTATGTGATGATCAGAAGTAGATTCAAATTCACATGGCTACATTCTCCAGAAGACACTGGAGATCCAAATACTCTAAAGGAATTTTAGTGAACCAAGAGGTACCACATACAAGATATTCAACAGTGTCTGCTACAGTGTAGGTACCTAACAAACATCAGCTCCCTTAGTTGAGTGAGCAGTAGGAGCCCCTAAAAGTCACACAGAGCCAATTCTCACAAGGGAGGCTCACTGTGCAAACAGTTGGTCATGTTCCGAAATAGAAACTTACTAGAGCACAGTGAGATGCTTGGGATGGCTGACTCCTGGCCAGCAACTCTTTATTCTGCCTCAATTCAGAGTCACTGGAACTGACTTACCAATGCCGTATAGGTCTAAGACAGATCTCCGAGGTATCAGATTTAGGATTCTGCCATATTTCATTTTTGCAGGGTAATATGCTTAGGAGATTTGACGATGTTTATTTATTAACATACAGCAGACCTAATGGTGTCCAGAAACAAAACCCTGAAATTTAGGCTCCTGGATCATTAAGACCCAGAGCATAGGACAATATAGTGCTTATAATTCTTCACCAACATTCTGGGAACAAAATCAATCCAAAGACTTCAGCTTGTTGTTGAATTCAGTTGAAAAACAACCATGGGAATTGCCAGCACATTCTAGGGGCCCGGAAGGGAGAAGACAAAGTTTGAAAATGCCTATCTCATTCAGAAAATCAGGCAAATGGTACAGTCCTTAAACTGATCTGACCAATCTTTCTTGTTGTAAAATGAAAAGGGAGTAGCCCATAGACACCCAGGCTGTTAGGAAAACCACAAGGCACCAGAACCCAAGCCTTTTGACCTATGAGTCCGCTTTTGTTTTACTGAGTCATATTTCTTTATCTTAACTACTTATATTTTTCTCATGAATAAAAATCCAGAAATGAGGGTTAGAGAAAATCTAAAGATGAATGACATTGGATATGTTAACAGAGCTTCACAGTGAAGCAGTTCTTACCCTTGACATTTTGTCATTATACAAAGCAACATGTACTTACAGTGATTCCTATTCACTTTCCATGTTGATATACACACACACATAAAATGAGGTAACTTGTTTTGAAGTAGTAAGGCACCAATGATGTGCTCAAATCCACAGGGACAAGCCAGCCGCTTTGCTGCCCTCCAAAAGGAAGATGCTAAAGAGGCTCAGTCAGAAGGGTCTCAAGTTCAAGACCAATCTGGACTATACCTATTTTGTGGGGGCTAAGTGTGTAGTTCAGTGGTAGAGTGCCTGTCTAGCCTGTTCGGGGCCCAGGTTGCACCCCCAGAAACACATGCATGCACAATGACACCTAGAGGGAAATTCTGTTGTACTGAGTTATTTGAGAGGATCTCTTAACTAAATAACTACTGGGCTCTGGAGGGGTAATGCCTGTGTTTATAGGATATTTTGTAGGCTCCAATTACATGCGTCAGGAAACAGTAAGGATAGTAATTCTTTCTCCTAGGATGATTTTTTTTCTGAAGACTTTTAAAGTTATTTTTAAATATGTGTATGTACATGTATCTGTGTGTGGGTATGTGCATTTGAGAGCAGATACCCACAGACACCAGAGGCATCATATCCCCCTGAAGGTGGAGTTACAGGTGGCTGTGAACTGCCTGACAGGGGTCCTGGGAACTGAACTTGGGTCTTCCACAAGAGCAGTAAGTACTCTTAACTGCTGAGCCATCTCTCCAGCCCAGTAGAATTTCTTAATTGAAAAAGGTGAAAAAAAGAACTGTACTGTGGATGAACTAAACCATTTGCCACGGTTGCCACGCCCCTTGGTCCTGCTTCCTGACTCCCTAAGACAGGCTTCCCTCTTCCTCACTTGAGCCACACCAGTCTGAGGTGACTAATGACTTCCCAGGACTGAACCAAGCAACCTATTGCAGAGCTCCCAGGCTCTCTCTGTGCAGTATCTTTCAAGTTGAACCCGTCTATCAATTCTATGTGTTGGTCACCATAGTTCCACTCATGGGAAGGACAGATGGAAAGACTGGGCACACTTCATAAGTGACCTCAGCAAGCACGGGTGTACACAACTCCTGCTATGATTGCCGTAAAGGAATTTACTTCTTGGCTTTGACCGAGGTGAGGAGAGCAGCCATTCAAAGGCTGGTGTTATTTGGAAGACCTTCCATCACATCTTTCCAAAACGCTTTGTAGTTCCTAATAATGTCTTTCTTTGTCCTGTACACCGGATGCAATGCCATGCATACTCCTGTTGACTTGGTGAGCCATATTACATAACTTTCTTTTCCTCAAAGTCAAGATTGCTGCTTTGAGTAGGCGCAAGAAAAAACAGGAAGGGAAGTGTTGTCTGTTCTTGCAGCATTAGAGCATATCCTCAGTTCTTAGGGGCTCAAAGTCCTTGTGTTCCCAGCCTTTCATTTCTTCCCTTTCCTCTCCTTAGTCGGGTGTTTGTTTTCTTTTCTGTATTTCCTTTGAACTCTTTAGGAAGCCAAAACTGCAGTCAGACAGAAGAACAAAACTAGAGAGTCCATTGAGCAGTCTTGGGCTGAGAAATTTGTTTTGTCTCTTTTTCCTTAAAGACATTTTTATTTCATGTGTATAAGTGTCTTTGCATATGTATGCATGTGTACCACATACATGCCTGGTGTTCATGGAAGTCAGAAGATGGCATTGGATTCCCTGAAGCTGGAGTTATAGGTGGTTATAAACCACCACATAGGTAAACCAAATTTAGGTCCTCTGCAAGAGCAGCAAGTACTCTTAACCACTGAGTCATCTCTCCAGGGTAATTTTTCTTTTTAAAAGAAACTTGAACACATTAGCGTAGAAGAGCTGATCAGTTGCTCACCAGTACAGCCCAGTATATTCACAACAAACCCAGAGTTCTAGATTTCTCTCTATCCTTACACCCCACCCCCATCTCAATTCTTAGATCACAAATATTGCTATTCTAAAATTGGGTGCTTGTCCACAGTGAATGTTCCCACGGCATTGGAAGTCAGACATCCTGTGTATTTCCAGGGAAATGGTCAGCCAGCTGTCAGAGGAAATTTGTAAGACACCTTTTCCTCAAACCTACAAAAAAGCTTTTGTCGACAAATTCCTGCTCAGACTTCCTGCCCTAAGAGTGTTTGCTTCCTCACTGCTGTGAGAGGAAACAAAAAATAGAACCACCTTCCTGCCTCAGGAAGTCGGGCCCAGACAAGTCTGTGTGCCGAGGCAAGGCCAGCATCCCGTGAAAGCCTGTGAGAAAGAATCCGCTGGTATTCTATTTAGGAACAGGTTGACGGACAGAATCATTGTGGCCTTGAAGGGATAACCCTGGCTCAGTCACCTCTCCCTTCATTGCCATTTAGGAGAACTGGGAGGGTTGCAAAGCACAGAACACTTCAGAATGAGGGCAAGACTTCCTGGCCTCCTGGCCCCTCTCCCTAATGAACTGTGCAGGGGATGCAAGAATAAGCAATGACAGTACATGTGTGCATCACTAAGTCTGCAGACTATAGTGCTGAATTAAGCTCAATTCCTCTTAAGATTCTGCTTCTTCCTTCCATGACCAGTGTGAGGATTCCCTACACCTCTTCTTTTTCCTCCATACTCTGTACATCCGGGGTTTGTGCCTATCACATAAGCAGCAAGAGAAGCACCTATATATTAATATAGTTTAAGTGTTTAAGAGAAAAATACCCTCTCAATTTGTTACCATCCTCATATCTCTTCTATGGTTTTATACATTCCTAAACAGATGGCAGCAGAGAAAAGCTCAGTTACCCCGAGAGATGTCTACACTGCTGTCCTGGGAGCTAGCCTAAGCCACATGAATGAGTTGTTTCCAGGAGATCCAGTCAGCAGCCTTATCTGAGGCCAGTTAGCCTTAGAGTCGGCATAAAGTGGCAGGTAGATTATTCCTATCACCTCCAGCCTTCCTGCCTTTCCAGCTGAAGCAACTGAAATTATGGACCACAAAAACTCCCCCTGTCATGGCCTATTCAAACTCCAAATTCACAGAATCTGTGAGCAAAAAAAAAAAACAAAGCCACCAAATTATAGGCTGGTCGATTGTAAAGCAAGGACAGTTGGAACAGTGACAATCCTGTGACTTGAGTTTCTGAGACAGTAAACGGTCACATGGAGCAGCATGCAAATGGTGTTCAAGGACAGGATGGTGAAGACCTGCGTGGGGCTGTATTATCCAGCATGTCAGGCCTCACATTCCCTACAACGCTGCACAAAGAGCATTCAGCCTGCTTGGGTTACAACAACAAAACCCCATACACAAGATGGCTTAACAACAACGTCAAGTTATACCCACAGATCTGGAATGTGGGAAGTCCAGGGTTCAGGTGTTGGCTTGTGGGTGACTAGTGAAGGACCACTTCCTGGCTCATAGATGGCCATGTTCTGATGTGTCTCCAAAGGTCTGAGGGGCATCTCTAGGGACTTTCGATAGGAACACCAATCTCTTTTGTCTGGAGGTACCACTGTCATGACTCAATGTCCTCTGAAGTCCCCACCTCCAAATTCCATCCTGTGTGTTTTAGGCTTCAACAAGTCAACATGGGAGGAATGAAATCATGTAGTCTGTAGTGTTTGGGCAGCTTCCTGTAAAAGTCTGAGCGCTTTATAAGTTGTACGTGGAGGGAATTCCCAAGGTCCCAGAGCTACATCCAGGCAACATCTAGGGAGGCTGCTTCTCTTCCCAGACACTTGCTCTGTGCAGAGATTTTTCCACTTTAAAAAAAAAAAAAAAAGAGTCCATTCTGTAAGGTTTTTCTCAAACCAGTAAAATTGTCTTTTCAATTGCTTTGAAACATGATTACTACAGTAGTACAGCCACCGGGCATCTCTTTAGCTCAGTACTGAACTCCACTGACTTTAGTTCCCCTTTCGTGTATCTTGTAGCTAGAGTGAACTGTTAAAACAACAATCTAAAATACTGCATGACACTAACAGCTTTCAGATAACTTTGGTCAGTTTGCACTTTGTTGTACTATGAACAGCTAGTAGATAAACCAGTGAAAAATGTTAAGACACACAAATGTCTGACCTATTCCAACCTGCGCTTGCCAGCTAATTTCCACTCGGCTGTTTATAATGTACACAGGCTTGCGACACCTAGAGTATAAAGAGCTAGGTAATATATGGGCTCTCTTCTGTTCTGTGCTGCCTGCTCTGGCTTCATACACCTCAGAAATTACAAAATCAATGAGATAAAAGCCACATGCCACCCCGCTCTTTCTGTGCTCTACTTACAGCCCAAGAGGCTGGGGTCACTTCAGCCCTCTGGAGATGCTCTGGCAGTTGGAAAGTGTCTCTTCCCACACTTTACTATCATAGTTCTTTGATCTTCAGAATGGGTCCTCTCCCTACCCGTTCGTTCCGGCCTTGTCTGTCTGCACCCCCACCGCATCCCAGGCTCTCCCTGCTCTGGTTCCTGTTCGTGGAGCTTTGACTTTAGTGGCTCTTTGCGCCACCATGGCTAGCAGTCCCCCTCCCTTTCTTCCACCCACACACCGTGCTCAGACCTCGCACTGGAGCAGAAATAAATGGTGGTGTGATTCTCCACTTACACTTCTCCTTTCCTTCTCTGTAACTCTTCTTTAAAAAGAAAGAAAGAATCAAACATAGAAAAGCTGCTAAGTGTTGGGGTACCTCCAGAGCTCCCCTAATTGTTACTGTTTTGCTGCTCTTTTGTGCCCCTCCCCCAGTGCCTGGCCATTCACCTCAGACACTTCTGCAGAAGCGCTTTTGGGAAATCTTCCTGGCACTCTCACCCTCCACGCAGCAAAGCTTCACCTCTTCTTCAGAGCCCCTAACATTTCTCACACATACTCCTTTGTCTTCCTGGCTGTAGCACTTACGCACATGGAGCTGTTCACAAGTTTCCATCTTATTCAGCCACAAGTTCCTGGAGGGAGACTGTTTCTGTTTTTCTCTGGGTCCGGAGTGCTGGACACAGTGCCTAGCGTAGTTCACACTAGGACGCATGCTGGGAAGCCATTCATCCACATGATGAGTGGTTACAATGCGAGGACAGTCCTCCCTAGTTTCTCATCCCTGACCTAGACTTCTCATGCCAGCTGCCAAGTCTCCCTTGACAATAAGTAGACCTCCACGGTCATCTTCCATGGCTTCTGTTCAGGACTCTAAGCACCCTGCTCTCTCAGCCCCGCCCCCTTTTCCTTCCACAGGATGATCACACCTGTCTGTTCACACACATAGGTACATTCCTCCATCAGATTCCTTCTCATCCCCATCTGCATCTGTCCTGTCTTCTCAGTTCTTCTCAAGAAGGAAATACCCATGTTCCCTGCTGCACAGCACACTGGTCTGTTATAACAAGCTTCCTTCGAGGCTGACCTGGATGGACACGACTTTCCAGCTGCTACCAGTCTCCATGCCTTGCAGAAGACCGGGAATATATTGTTTTAGGAAACTAAGCTTTATATCAGTTTTGTGAACCAGCTCCTGGTGTATGATAGCCAGTCAGTTTACCTAAGCACCTTTCTTGTCCAGTCCCCAGAGCATTTCAAATGCTTTCAGTCTTTCTCTACCTTTGGCCATGTCACCTCCAGGTCACTCCCCAGCTACTGATATTTGTGTGTCTCCTTCAAGACCTTGCTCACATGGTCACTGGCTGGGAAACACCCCTGGAAATCCTTCCCTTTTGACCACCTCGAGAAGGAAAAGAATAAACTCGGCCCTTGTTTATGTCTCCTTAACCTTCCACAAGTCACACTCTAAAATATCCGTTCTATTACACTATGCACTCCTACATGGGATCCGTCACATCCTGAAAACCATGTTTTCTGCATTCAATCTTACTCACACACAGGGTAGATTCATGACTGAGAACATGGTACAAGCTCTGAGAAATAATTAATTACCCTTTAAAACATGTCTTGAGGGCCAGTGAGATGACTTGGTGCACGAGGGTACTTATTGTCAAACTTGATGACCCCGAGTGTGATTCCCAGAGCCTGTATGATAGAGGAAGAGAACTAACTGTCATATTCATCTTCTGACTCTGCATGCACCTTGGTACACACACACAACCACACACACACACACACACACACACACACACACACACACACACACACACATCTTGAGTTCTAGTTCATGGTTGTAGAGTGTCTATCCTTACCTAGTGAGTGGTGTGTCTAATGGCAGAACTGAGGTGAAGGCTCTTGGGACTCCTAGTCAGGGCACAGCAGAAAAAGGGAAGATGTGAAAGGAAGAAAACATGGCTCCCTGTTTTCTCCCTACGAGCTTAGGCTTCCTTGAAATGAAGCTTAGCAAGTTTTGAATGACTATGATAATGTGTTGGCCTCCCACTCCTGGTTAAGGAATAGAAGAACTAAGGGAACCTTGGGCCTTCTTCTTGCACACTCTCATTAGTAAAGCCTGCTTCCTCCATTGAACCTCACTCTCCAGTTTTAAAGGGCTACTGTTCAATTCCCAAGTCCAGAGATTCTGTGAAAGAGATCTGCATTTTCCATCTATTCTGTTAGTTGCTCAGCATTAGCCAGTGCTATTTATGGTTGCAAGAAATATTATGCCGAAGTGTATAGAGATTTTTATTTCCATTTAATTACTTTTGATAAATACATTTTCCAAACCAAGTTCACAATCTTGAGAAAACAATGGCATTGTTGGTATGATAGCTTTGAATTTAGATTATATTTTGATAATAGAATATAGGGAAAATATCTTTGTGTTTTTATTCCATTTTCAAAGAAACTGATGGTGGGGTTTCTCTTTCTAATTTAAACATTCCCCTGCAGTGTTGATAACTCAAAGCAAATCTCATTATACACAGTGCATAAGAACCAGAAAATGATGCTGGATCGAGTTGAGAATGAAACAGTCATTCCAGCCAGACAGGAGAGTTATAGGAAGAATCTTTGAAGTGCCATCTACTTCACATATCTCTATGCACCATGACAAAGGGCAGTGTGACATACTCAACCGAACTGTCAAAAGTGGCCTTGGTCCCCAAGGTGTGTACAAAACATAGACACACAAATTAAATTATACAATAATGCATTACAGTATTTGTCCCCAGTGCCAAATATAGAAAGTGTGCATGAACCCACAGGCATAACTAGAAATGTCCAAGAGCTATAAACAGAAACAGGAAGGAAGGCATGCAGTATTTGAATAACTGGGGGCGAGAGGTGCAAAAATGAAAGTGACTATGGCCACAGCTTTTAAGGAACACAGGGAATGAAGCAGTGACTGGAATACTGGAAAATGCAACATACTTGGGGGTCACATGTGGAAAGCTTGGGTTGACAAGGCAAGGAACCAGGAAAGTAGAGTCCAAGAGAATATAAGCAGGCCTTGGACACCACACGATTGGGTTAGCAAGGAGAGAGGTCACAGGGGAATAACGGGTTTGTTGCTGTTGCTGTTGTTTTGGTTTGGTTGGTTGGTTGGTTGGTTGGTTGGTTGGTTGGTTTTGGTTTTTCAAGACAGAGTTTCACTGTGTAGCCCTGGCTGACTTGGAACTCACTTTGTAGACTGTGTTGGCCTGGAACTCACAGAGATCCTCCTGTCTCTGCCTCCAGGGTGGTATGCCCCACCACCACCAGGCAGGGGAATAGCAGTTTCGAGGCCACACTGTTTTTAAGTTTCCAAACCTAATTGTGGAGGCAGTAACCTGGAAGAGAAGAGGTGTGAGAGAGGCATTTATTGGCCTTGCAAACAGGCTGAACAGAAGGCTAGGACTCGGGGTGAACATAAATGGCAGAGGAATAAGATCCCCACTCCTCAGTAGACTAGGAAGTAAGGACGTTCTGCTTTGTGGACACCCAAGGGAGTGTAAACATAGTTGCTACTATTCCTTGAGAATGTGCTCTGTGCCAAACAGCATGAAGATAGCGGTACTAGCAGGCAACTGCATCATGAGGACTCTATGCCAAACATCGCTCAAAACAGTACCAATGGGGATGCAGAGACAACGCCTAACACCCTCTTGTGATATCACATATAAGTCTTCCAGCAACCCTGCAGGACACACATGCACACACACACACACACACACACACACACACACACACACACAGGCACTTGCACACACACACACACACACACACACACACACACACACACACACACACGGGAATCAGTGCATAGAGAGGTTAAACAACTTGTTGACAGTTACTAGGAAGCCATGGTTTGAAACCAGGGAGCCGGGCTTCAGAGTGTGAGCTCATAGCCAGCATCCATACTAGTGAGTTTGGTACACGCCTATACTAGTGAGTTTGGTACACGCCTGGCCGTCTTGCCACAGTTGAGCCCAGCACCATGGAATAGTGGGCTTCCTGGGCAGTTCACTGTCGTCTACCAGATTTTGACTCTTAGTGACGTTTTGGTGGAGATATCTAAGGCTCTAACCGACAGCTGACCACAGAAACTTCTAAAAGGAGGCCGTACCCATGCTGTTTACTGAAGTCATTCACAGTGAGTCTGAAGCCCGAAAGTAGAGAAATCAGTGAGGAGCATGGGGTGCTGCCTCATGAAATGCATATCATAATAATAGTTTAATTAACTTGAAATAATTATATTATGCATGTAATTTATTCTATCACCAGGTTGCATTGAAATTTTTATTGGCATTCCTGAATACATGTACTAAGGATGTTAATAAAAACATTTTGACTGTGTTTTTTTTCCTAATTGCTCCAGTTTTCTTTTTTTCTGGTTCAATAAGGATAATGATGTAATATCAATATGAAAATTTCACTTAGTTTGAGGTTTGGCTTTTTGTTTTCCACTCTAGGCAGTGTGTCAATAAAGAACATACTAATTCAGTACAGCATAATAAATATAACTGAATAATATTTAAACACATTAATAATGTAAATGGAGAAAATTAAATGACATTCAGAAATACCCCTAAATTTTTAAAACTTGCTTATCAGAAAGACAGGGAACTTTTTCAAATATGATTTTTATCACAAGCTAAACCCCGTTACCTTCTGGTGCCAGAGGCAGGAGGCAGAGAGATTCATCATTTCCCAGGCTGCCATCTAAAACACAGGAGGGCCACTTCTGTGTGTCATCGGGTCCTAAATGATATATGCTCCCTTAGCCTGGCAACTCTTCCTCTATGCTCCAAAAATAGCCCCAATGGCTGGCTCCCCATGTGAGCCACATCCCTACAATTACTCTTTGCAAGGGGGGCGAAAAAAGAATGAAATTTGTGAGAGTAAAATCTGTCCCCAATCATAAGAACCCTGAGGCTAAAAATCTGCTGTATCTTTTCCTCTTTCTGAAATAATATTAAGCTCGGGCGTGTATAATTATACAGGAACCACCAGGCTGTGAAGGATGAGAAAATATAACACAATTATCTCTTCACAAACCTCAGCTGAAGTCTGACAGAAATCAACATGAGCTGAGAACATGCTTCTCCTCCCCTTTCCCTCTCCAGCATAACCCCTGCCTTCAAATGGCTGTCTACCAGCTTTCATGTTGAGGATGCTGCCTACATGCCTGTCACTGGACACCTGGAGTGGCCTGGCAAGCTTTCCATGGAGGATGGCCCATTCTAAGGAGGAGGGGAGACACAGGAAGCCATTTGCTTGTTTTGATGTACCGGGAACACTGACCTCAAAATCAGTTGAAAATCAGCCCAGACTAGGAGGCAAACCATCTCTGTTCTGCATCAAGAGGGAGAAAAAAGAGGCAAAGAGCTGTTATGTGAGGTGGGAGTTGAGAAGGAATTAGCCGCAGGTCATTTAGAAGAAAGATGAAAAACGCCAGAGTTGTGTTTCCCAATTGGCAGGATTCTTGCAGAAGTACCCTCTGTTCACCAGAAACCTTGCAAGCGTGCATATAAGGATCTCCATGAAAAGGGTGAAGTTGGACTTCCATTCCCAAAAGAGCCTCTGGTCCAGCACTGCTCTGCTGGGTCCGTGGCTGCCTCAGGCCAGCGCTTCGGTCTTCACCCCTCTGCTTCTTACCTCGATGTTTCATGTCTAGCTCGTTCTTTGCATCTTGTTTTTTGGCGCCTCATTTACTGTTATCTGTGGACAAACTCTTGATCCCTCTTTATTCCATACAAACTAGGAGACATCCCCACTGCAACACAAAGTCAGCAACAGACCCTGGAACTCCATCCTGGGCCAAGTGCCCCAGATCTCCACCAGACTGAACTCACATAAAGTGAAATGAGAAAGGATGCTATTGATGGCAAGTTCATTTCTAAGATTCTATTTTGGGGGAAAAATTGCCCTGGAGGTGATTTTCACATTTCTGCCCCATTGCAAAGCCAGGCTCTCACTCGTGACCAAAGCATGGGTGGTAAGGTAGGGCAGAAGGAATGGGATAGACTTTGGGGGAGGGGGAATCAGTTTCCTTGGATACATCATCCTTATCATTACAGGTCTCTTGGGTCATGCGAACCCTCATAACCCAGTGTGGATAAAGCATGGTCTTCAAGAAACTTGATCCAGGTCAAAAACATTGTTACCAGAGGTTTCAAGATGGCTGGACAGAAGTATCCAGCATTCTCCTGCTCCTCCACAAAGACGAAAGAACCAGGCACCAAGTGTGGAACTACATCATGAGTTTATTTGTTGAGAAACCGGTAGAGGAAAACTGAAACCGTGTAAGACCCAGGTACCTAGGGCAACAGCACAGTGGCTTAAACAGGATACTCACTCCGCTACTCCAGCGCCATAGCAGTAAGGAGTCTTCGGTCTGCGGGATGAGAGTGACAGAGAGGCTGGACACCATCATCCATGTGGATGACTGCAATCCTGGCTAGTGGAAGGTCTCAGCAGCTCTCACAGGCTGGCAGCTGTACAAGACAAGGAGCCTGAGAGCTGCACAGCCACCTGGCTTTGGGAAAGGATTGACATCATTGCTTCTTTCCATTGGCACTGGTCATGGCTGCCAGCTGTTCTGACCTCTAAGTTTTCCGGTCATTGAGTCTGACTTCCCAAGCAATGTCAGCGTCTGTGTATCCAGTTCCCCACTTTAAGTTCAATCACTGCTAAGCACAAAACGTGTTTTCCTTTGTCCTGGTTAGATCCCCTTTGCTGCAACTTCTGCCATCAATATCCCCTTATTTTCCAAGCTACTGGCTGCGACTCTCCCCATCACATCCAGATCGACTCTGGAAGATGAAGTGGGGTACAAAGGTTTTATATCTTGGCTAATTCTGCAACTTCAGACTATCTTTTGGACAATCATACACATTTCTGCTTATGCATAACTCATTGGTCCACTTTTAAACATTGCAGCCATCAACAAAAGACACACATTTTCTGAACAAGCGAAAAATGAAAAGTTACAATCTGAGAAATCCTGACATTAAGTTGTTTCTTCCAGTTAGACTCAAACGAATAGTTGTCACTTTCAAATCTGCCCAATTACTGAAATGCATATGCTAATTAAGTTATCCCTTCAAACCCCAAGAAGGGGAGGGTGATGTTCCAGCTACCTACTGCTGCAGGCTAAACCAGCACAGCACGCGTATCCTGAAACACCTATTCAGTACCTTTCATGGCTCTGTGGGTGACTGGGCTCCAGGTGAGTTCTCTCCTGAGGTGTTGTGTGGTCCTATGTAATAACCAGGGCTTGGGTCTTCTGAAGGAGCAATTGAGCTGGATGGCCATGAAACTCCCTCTGTGGGCCAGGACTAGGTGTTGGCTAGGAGACAGAAGCTTGCTAGAGACATTTGACTTACTTCCTCAGCAGCCTTCCCATGCAGTTTGGGCTTCTCACAGCATACAATACAGCATTGGGACTAACTCTAAGATAACACCTCAAGACACACAAGCAGAAACTTCCAGTCCCTCACAGCTTAGACTTGGTGTTTTCCAGTGTTACTCTCTGAGGCAGACAGATTCAAGAGTAGAGGAGTTAGCTCCATCTCCCAAGAGAGAAATGGAAAGTGAGAGACACATATGCTTGAAAAATACAGGGGTCTTTGTCCATTCCTGTGTAACCCTGCCTTAGACACATTCCCTCTCTGAGCCCAAGCATCTTCAACTGTTACACAAGACAATTAAACAAGATTGCTTTTACAGCCCGCACCTGCTGAAAGTACTCAGCGTCTGGCTCACTGTGAACAACGACATCTGTATCTATCTAGCTATTGGTCCCCAAAACCAAATCAAATGAAAGGAAAAAGCTTAAATTTCTAGCAATTCTTACAAGGTCGCTTTTAGACAGAGAATGTAAGAAAATAGATGATTAAAGAATTTTCAAAAAGTCCACCCATGTTTGACAGCTGTTGGGCAGCAAAAAAGCAACGTAATTCTACTAAATTAAAAGCTTCTGCAGAAAAGGAAGTATGAAAACGGGGAGTCGCCTTTCCTAGCAAGCCTAACCCGTGAACATTAACTTTCTATTGCAAATCTCCGAGCATGTGAAGCCTTCTGGAGCCCAAGGCTTTGCTCTTTTCTTTTTATTCCAGAGGCACCACCAGCACAGAGAACATAACTTTATCATAGAAAATTAGAGCCAAAGGGGACCTCAAGGTCGTCTCACCCAGAGCACTGACCAGGGACAGAAGAGTACAGACTGTATACACCCACAGTGACAGTCATCCCCCGATTAAATGATTCCCCAATATCAAACAATGAGCCAGTGAGTGAGCTGGGGCAGCTAGCGAAAGAAGGACCCGACTTTCAGCCCAGCCTCACAGAGGTTCCCAGGGCCTGACTCTCCAAAAGGGCTCTGTAAACAGTACTTGCTTCCTTCTACTTCTTCTGTCCCTAGCTACCTCTTTCCCTCTCTCCACCTCTCCTCCCTGCTCCTCCTCTCTCCCTTCCTCCTCTTCTCTCACTGTTCTCTTACTACGACGTGTCTGAGAACTCTCCACGCCGACCCTCTGCTCCCTGAGTCCGGTTGTTCACATTCTACCACCGAGGAAAAAGAAGGCTTGTGCGTTAAAGGTGTGACCAATATGGCATGACGGGTCAACAACGGAGTGTCACAAACATCAGTGGCAAAGTGTTTTTCTCTCCACCTTTCCTCATTCTTGGTCTCCTAAGGACTGAAATTCGTCGCATCCTTTCTTTGCAGGGTTTGGGCCCTTTATTTACATTATTTGGTATGAGTGTGGTATTTGTGTGTGTGGTATACACACATGTGTGTATGCTGATAGAAAGCCAGAGGATAATGTCCAGTACCCTGTCTTATTCCTCTGAGATGGGGTCTCTTGTTGAGCCCACAGCCAGCCAGCAAGCCCTGTAGTTCTGGTTCCCACCACCTCCCACAGCACTGGGATAATTGTCTTCTTTGGGCAACTGGGCAATACTCCGTGTGTGTGTGTGTGTGTGTGTGTGTGTGTGTGTGTGTGTGTGTGTGTGCGTGCGTGTGTGTGTGTGTACCTATATACATTATGTATATATGAATAGAGATTGAATTAAATAAGGATAAACGTAATTATGAAATGCAGAAATACGACAGTATTTTCTATCCATATTGTCTGGCTAGGAAAAATCTTCTTTGGCTTGGCTTCTTTTCTTCTTCATGGGAGTCCCTCAATTGTCCCTGGGAGAAAAGAAGAAAAGGCCTCGTTTCCCAGGATCCCCTTGGGCTGCTTGGCAGCCTTGGCCTCTTCTCCTGTTGATTCTTGGCCCCAGCAGAGAAGCAACATCTGCCGCTCTGTTTGAGTTTCACAACTCCCTTGTCTGTGTCCAAAGGACTTCATAACATGTATCTTTTAAAATGGTAAAACTTGAAATAAGTTTCCCCATGAGAAGTTTCACAATGTTGAGATAGCAGAAGAAAAATAATTAGGATAACTACAGATAGCGTGTCCATAACATTCCTCAGACGGGGGATGATTGTCCCAGTCCTGGCCTTTTGGTCCATGTGGTTATCTTGGTTTTCATAAAGGAAAAGGCAGGGTTCAAGGCTTAAAGGATTTGCTTGCAAGGTTATCTAGACTGCCTCCCCCTTCCCCAAGCCATTCAATGATAAAGTGAGCCATAAAGTAGCACAGAAACCAACTTGGTATTTTCTTGCCAAGGACTAGAGTTTGGGAAGCACTATATATTTCCATTTCTCAAAACAGTGCAGTCACTTGCTCCTGGACCCCGATGATGTGGCTGCATCATGAATTAGCTGGATGTGCATCTGATCTCCACACACTACCTTGTAAAGAGGCATCTATGCTGCCCAGGCGTGATTACAGGGCTCAACTGCTTTCCCTAAATAGATGGACAGAATCTTACCTCCGGTGCCTTTTCCATCCCCAGACACGGAAACTTTCCATCCCATTCCTTCATCTCCTTCTTCCCGCTATTTAGCATGACTCGGGAGGCCCTGGGGTGCACTTCTACATAAATCCTGTCTCAGAAGCTATGCCTCATGCTCTCACCTGGCAACACTCTGACCACTAGATCCCATGTCTGGTATCACATCATACTCAATTCTTGCTCTGAGCCAAAGAAAGTGATAGGAATTGAATCAACAAAAACATGAGTACCTTGTGGCTGATGTTTGGCTTTTCCTGATAAAATATGTATACTTAAAATAGCATTGTCCTCTAAGACATGAGGCTCATGCCATAAATGCAGAGACTTGAATGTATCAGAGAGTCTGACATTTATTGGCAAGGCAGAGCCTTGCCCAGAAAGACTACATGTAAACAGCACATGGTATAACAGAAACTGAAAATACTCACAAAGGGATTAACATTAAAAAGAACTCATATCAACTCAAAAGCAAAAATAGAAATTACCTAATTTAGAAAGGGCCAAAGGACTTGAATAGACATTTCTTCAAAGAGCATACACAAATGAAAGATGATTGACATTTCTAATCCTCAGAGAAATGCTAAGTAAAATACACAGAGGCTTCACCTCACCCCTGTGAGGACTACCATTATCACAACAGCAAATGGAAAGTGTTTTTATGTCTTGGACAAACTGAGGCCCTCCTTCACTATTGGGAATGTGAAATGGAGCCACTGCTGTAAACAGTGTCTCAAAAATCAGAATTGGCATGCAACTGAGCAATGCTGCTGTTGGATGGACCTTCATCCCAAGGAACTGAAGTTAATATTCCAGAAACATACTTGATCCCCACGTTTATCATATCATGACTCACAACAGCCAAGAGACGGAAGTGTCCTCATTTCCACAGGTATATGGATGAGGATGTATATGCATATAGTGGAATACTCTTCAGCCTTAAGAAAAGTCATTCTGTCATATACTACAGAGAGGAACTCTGAGGATGAACCCTAAGATAAATGAAAGCAGAATAAATACTATGATCCCACTTATACAAGGTATCTAAAGTAGCCAAACTGAGCTGGGAATGTAGCATGGTAGTAGAGTGCTTGCACACTGTATGCAAGGTACTGGTTTTGAAAGAGTAAACAAACAAATAAATCAAACTCATAGCAGCAGAAAGTAGAATGTCAGTTGCTGGGGAGAGGATGATTGAGGAGTTGCTATCAATGGCTACAGAGTTCCAGTCATGCAAGAAGAAAGAGTCCTGGAAAAGCAAATGCTTTAAAAAAAAAAGCATTAAAGAGAAAAATTAAATTTGCAAGCTCAGGGATGCAAGGTGTAGCAGGAATCTTAAAAGTTCTTATTAATAAAATCAAACCTGAAGCCAGTTATTGGGGTGAACACTGGAAGATCAGAGAGACAGAACCACCTCACTTCACCAGATCCTCAGCTGGTCTTGTTTCCTCAGACTGGAGGCCTCTGAGTCCTCATCCAGAATGGGTCTCAGCTGAACTGCTGCTAGAAGCCTGAAAGCTTAACCAGTCAAATGCTTCTAGTTTCTGGTCCTCACGCCTTATACATCTTTCTGCTTTCTGCCATCACTCCCTGGGATTAAAGGCTCACTTTCTGGGATTAAAGGCATGAATCACCATCCTTGAACATATGAATTTCTGCCTCTGGAATGCTAGGATTAAAGGCGTGTGCTACCACTGCCTATCCTTTATGTTTAATATTGTGGTTGTTCTGTCTCTGACCCCAGATAAGTCTATTAGCATGCACAATATTTCAGGGAACACAATACCACAGCAAGGTCAGGAATCACCGGAGAAGAAGGTGCAGAAAGATTGTAAGAGCCAAGGGGGAGTATATGTCTGCAGTGACATGACAGGATATGACATGACCTGACAGTATAGCTACACACATGCTCAAGCCCTGAACAAGATCAAGTCAGCCAAAACTCCAGCAGGGGAGGGGGAGGGGCGCATGAAGTTCCACTCCTGGCTAAGAAGCTAGGCAGTTGATGGCTGCTGAGGGAAGAAGAGTCAGTTTTCTTCTGAGATGCAGGCCTTGTGGGGCTAGCTATGCTCTAGTAGATGTTTCTACATCCATATGCATACAGGCAACCCTAAATGGACTCAGTGAGTATTATATCGAAGAAGGGAGGAGGGAGGGAGGGAGAGAAAGAACATGGAATTAGGAGAGGAAAGTATTGGGTGATATAGGAAGGAACCGGAGTGAGTGGGGTGGATTTGATCCAAATACATTATATACATCTATGAACATTAAAAAAACATTTTAAAGGTATTGAGAGGTTGAAGATACGGCTCATCAGTTAAGTTACTCCTCTTGAAGAAGACCCAGGTTTGGTTCCCAGCACTTACATGGCAACTAACAACTGTCTGCAACTCCAGTTCCAGGGAATTCAATGCCATCTTCTAGACCCCATGGGCACTAGACACACAAGTGGTAGACAGACATATATGCAGGCAAACCCCTCATCTGCATAAAATGAAGGCAAATAAAATCTTTTTTAAATGTGTGAAGAGGGTAGATCTCCTGAACAAGTAGCTAAAACAAAATAAGAAAAGGAATGAATTGAATAAATAAATGGAGAAGTGGGTATCTGCTTCAGACCAACAGACACCACTCAGCACTGTGTGACATTGTCCTCACTGGCTTCAAATACTAATCCATCCTGTACAGTGATGAGGTCTGAGGGAAAGAAGCTAAAAATTAATTGTGAATATTATTAGATGAAAAGCAGCTTATTACCATAAATTGTGCTGATGTTTCTCCATCTAAAGGCAATGGCATCATAATGATGTAGTTGATGATAAGTTTTCTCAAATGTAATCAGAAACAAAAGTAATTGATCATAAAAAAATACTCTCGCTGGGCGGTGGTGGTGCACGCCTTTAATCCCAGCACTCTGGAGGCAGAGGCAGGTGGATCTTTGAATTCAAGGCCTGGTCTACAGAATGAGTTCCAGGACAGTTCCAAAACTACACAGAGAAACCCTGTCTTAAAAAAACAAAACAAAACAAAAAATATTCTCAAATAAAAGCTTCCTAGGCCTCACCATTTCAAATAATAGTCCGTTTTCCTAAAGCTAAGCATCTATCCTACTGAATGCCACTGAAGAAGGAATGACGGGTGGGACACATATAGAGCCCTAAAGCATAACTCGGGCCGTTTTGTCCATTCTCAACCACTTGACATGCCAAGAAAGACATCCTGACTCATTGGCACCATTTTGTGTCAGTTGTATGTGCCATGCACCCAACCGTCTAAGTCACAACTTCAAAAGACAAAATTAAACACCTCAGTGACCAGGTTTCCAAGCTGTAGTTTACTCATCTTGAGTATTGCAAGTCCAGGATGGTTCTTTCCCGCAATGGCTTTGCCGTAGCACAATAGGGCGGAAATCAGGCTATAAGTCCATCAGGCTACAAGAACAATGTGGCCCTGTTGAATGTCTTAGCTGAACTAAATACTTGCTCATTTTTTATGGGACCTGAGCAAATTTTCATTTGACCTGAGCAATACATAGAACTCTGCCCACCCAAGACTGCTGATAAAACGATGAATCCTTCACAATGCATACACTATTTATGAGGAGAAATATAGGTTTTCTTTAGTAAAGAGCAATTCGATGAATGTTGCTAATTTCCCTGTAATGAGCACACTGCCAGAAACATAATAGATGCATGTGTGTCTTTCCATAATGTCAGAATTTACTGAATAATTGCAAATTCATAAACTATGTCAGATTTTGGGGCAGTGGTGTGCCAAGTAGTCCCAATTTCCTATGGGAGCCAACCAAAGCAAATACAGGTTCTCTCACTCCAAACCTACCTATTAACACTAACACTCAGAGGTCCCAGGAGTTCCAAAGAGGCCTTCCTGGGAGGCAGAAGTCAGAAGCTGGGTGGTCGGATGGCATTTCCCCGGGGCCTTTGCCATGGTACTGTTAGATGTCCATTTCTATGGCGTCCAGGTGAAGGCATTATACTCATTCCTTGATTGACAAGCTCTCTGGCCTGCTTTTTTTTAATCTAGTGATTATAATACACTCATTTACTCACATGGTCCCAATTTACCTTGTGTACTTATGAATAAGTTGCTTATCAGTCTGTGTCTCCTATGAGCTTTCAGGACAGAAGGTGCTATTCATGTATCCAGCTCAGGGGAGGGAGTTATCCTCTGTCCTCAGGGTGGAGTCAAATGCCATTTGGAAAATTGAGGCTCTGAAGACAAAGTATAGCCTAAAAACAAAAACTTTATGTAATATGAAAGTAACTTAGGGCAGGGTACAACCCGATCTCAGACTCCTAAATGCAGTGAGCATGCTCTGACTTAATTTCCATGGCAGCCTTGAGAAGCAAAGAACAGGCCAAAAGAGGGATGATTAGTCTGTGTCCATATTTTTATCCCAAGATTGGCATCTAAAAGTGGTGATTTCCAGGCTATGGAGACAGAAAAGATAATAGTCCATAAAATATCATAATCTTTAGATTTGTGTCTATTATAATGTCTACACATGGAAAACATGGCATTGCTTATATTTTGAATCAACTATTTTATATGAATGCAAATCAAAATTTAGTTTTATATCTTATAGATATTCTTTAAAGAAAGAATCAGCTTTGCATGTTTATTTAATATATATTGATATTGGTTATTTTTATAAACAGGCATCCTATATCATAGACATGAAATAGTTGTTTAATTATGTAGCTGTATAGGCTCATTAACGATCCTTCTTCTGTGGGAGTTCAGGTGGTGAGGCCATGGATGAGTGAACTATTGGCTGTACCAAGGAAATGTACTGTGTCTTTACCCAGTTCTGACCTTGTAATCTGTAACTAACGTTTTTCTTTCTATTAACATGTGCTTATTGACCTTCCAAAGTTCAATACCTAGTAATAGCAAACCCCAAGAGTTACTAAGGACAGGCAACAAAGAGGCAGTACTCTACAGGGAAGTAGAGTTTGGTTTTCATTTTTATATAGAGTCAACATCAGGATAGCAGACTCCAGGGTCCTCATGCCTAAGCAGTTTGGGAATAAGGAAAGCAGCATGACCCATGACATGATGCTGATGCCTCTTAAGACCACAGCAAGTACTGCCTGCATTGGAAGGGTGGTCATGTGGTCGGGCCTGCATTATCCTCATGTGGAGTATGTTTTTTCAGGTAGTATTCCCCAGCCTGCTTTGCCATTGATAACAATAATTTAAAAATCAATAATGATGGTAATTACTACCAATATTTATTGAGTACAGACTACATACTTGGTACTATCTTTAAAACTATGGAAGTTTTACATGTAGGTGTTTATTTGATATTACATTTGTCTTAGTAACTTGTCCTGTCTCTGTGGTAAAATACCCTGACAAAAGCAATTAAGAGGAGGAAAGATTTATTCTGGCTCATAGTTAAGAGGTTCCAATCCATCATGGCAAGGAAGTCACAATGCCTGAGTCTGAAGCAGCTGGCCACAATACATCCACAGTGCAGGAACAGAGCGCAATGAATACTTGTGTTCAGCTTCAGAATCTCTAGGGAATGGTGTCAACCACAGTGGGCAGATCTTCTCACCTCACTTCACCAAATTAAGGTAATCCCCCACCCAGGCATGCCTAGAGGTTCTTCTCCCAGGTAATTTTAGATCTCATCTGGTGGACAGTAGAGCTTAACCATCATAATATGCAATCATTTGTTCTAAAACCTGGGTAACAGCTAGCATTGAAACAGAGAGACATGGCATAGAATGCAATCCCCCAAACACAGGAAGGTTTGGCTAATCGGTTCACTGCAGTATTTCCTGTGAGGGCTCTAAGATTACAGTCACATTCCAGGAGCTTAACAATAGTTTGTTAGATGCATAAACGAGCATTGCTTGTCTAAGCTCTCTATTTTGGCAGTTATACAATAATAATTGAAAGTTAAATATTTGGCAAATTGTAAGACATTTTAGAATGGAAATTCCCTTTAAAACTTTGCGTGACTTGGCAGGTTTATCACAACCATTCTCACTTTTAATTACTCAAAATCTATTAATTTTGATAGAAAAAATGAGAGGTACTCCATTCATTCATTTATTGACTCATGAATTGATTTAATTCACTATATGACTTCTACAGTCTCGACTCAATGCCACATATCAGAGACATGAGTCGGAAGACAAAAATTGAGCAAAGAATGTTACTGATAAACTGTAGATCCATCTCCTCCACAAAAGAGGAGAAGGAGGACAAAGAAAGCCTGCTATGCTGACTGACATTCAAGAATAAATGTGGTGCTGAGAAACACGTGCTTCCATTTTTATACTTCCACTGAGGGGTCCCTAAGTATGGAGGAGACTGGCTTTTTACTTCATGGGTTCAGCGTGTGCATCTCTAAGAGGCCACTGTAAGCATTCAGCACTCTTGAGAAGTGATGCTTTATGTAACCTTCGTGGAAATTGTCTAGAGTTTGTAGGAATCAGAATCTGAGGCAAATGCTCTCGTGCTAACAGATTATTGAGTGGTATAAACCCAGAGGAGCATGGAGCAGAGCAAAGGAGAATGGGCCAGTCAGGAAAGGCTGCACACATGAGAGGTATTGCTGAGTCAGGCTAGACTTTGCCATCAGAACTGATTGCCTAGTTGAGCAGGAAGCCTTTTAAAAGGGCATATAGGGATGGTTACATTGCTGAATAGCCCACTGAATGGGTGAATGGGAGGTGGGAGGGGATTTATCTGATGGTTTCCTTCACACTTATCAAAGATTGCTCCACCTAGAGATGCTTCTTCTACATTCTAGGTGGGTATTGTGGAAGCCACAAAGCAAACCACATCACCCAAAAGGAGGGGGAGGACTTTCTGTCTGCAGTGGTGGAAGGACCTTAACACCATCAAGGGATTTGGAAACAGGTGCCTCTCAGAGGTTCTGGTGCAGCTAGAGTTTTCTCTAGTCCTGCCTGGCCCACGGTCAGGACAAATCTCTCTCACCTGCCAGTCCCGCAGCTGCTCAGACCCAACCGAGTAAAACACATAGAGACTTATATTGCTCACAAACTGTATGGCCACAGCAGACTTCTTGTTATCGAGTTCTTATATCTTAAATTAACCCATATCTATTAGTCTATACGTTGCCACATGGCTCGTGGCTTACCGGCACCTTACATCTCGCTTTTCATGGCAGCGGCTGGCAGCGTCTCTCTGCCTCAGCCTTCCACTTCCCAGAATTCTCCTCTCTCCTTGTCCCGCCTATACTTTCTGCCTGGCTACTGGCCAATCAGTGTTTTATTTATTAATCAATCAGAGTAACACATTTAATGTACAGAACATCCCACAGCACTCTGGGGCTAGCCACCCACAGTATCTAATAAAACCCAACAGGAAAACTAATCCCAGTAAGATGTTTCATATCCCCCAAAGGCTTTGCACTTCAAATAGACTCCACTCAGTACCTCTGGGAGATCTCAAGACCAGAGAAGCATATTTGGGATACCCTGAGGGTGAGTTGGACTACTGAAGTGGTTCCATTGAAGGGCAATGGGTCTGGATTTGCAGAACAGATGAGAAATAAAAATATAATGGACATTGACTCTTAACTATGATACACGTGGAAAATGGATATGCATTCCTGCAGGGTAGTAAGATATGTGATTACGAGGACTTTAGGTCATTTATTCAATTATTTATATTCTACCCTGCTCTCACTAGGAGTCATATTATAAAATTATTTGCAATAGTTCACAAGTAAAATTATGTCAGTGATTGAATTCAAAAAAGAGAAAATACATTAAGTATTTAGATATTTTAGAAGGGTCACTTAATTATGTTCAAAACTTCTGAAAGGTTTTGCAATCGCTTCAGTGGTAGTTTCCTTCCTAGTTGGGAAGCGCCAGGCATCTAATAGTGCTTAGACCAACTTCAAATACTTCAGGAAAAAGAAAAAGCCATACTACACAGTATGAAATCCTGCAGGAAAAGCTATCTTACATGTACACACACACACACACACACACACACACACACACACACACACACACACTTTACGACATATTCAAAGTTAGTGCATTTACCTAAGTCACTAGCATCATGAGTGAACGAAAGACATCATGCAAATTCACTGTTAAGGCATCTGAGGAGGCTCAGAGCCTGTTCCCAGGTTTACTTCTCTCTTCCCATCCGCCACTTTCCCAGTGTCTCCAGTTCTCCAATCACATTCAAATATCTTTCAGGACATGACCTTATCATCATCTCAACATCTGTGTCCATTCCTTTCATGAACACCCAGAAGGTAGTCTTACCAAAATCATTGGTGAGCCAGACAAGTGATATGCACGCGAGCGGTTTCCAATTGAAATAGTGCTGATAGTGAGAATGAAAACATCCAAAAAGGAGGAATCGGGCACTGAGCAAAGCTAGAAACTCGGGAACAGAAGATTAAGGAAAGCAAACAGTGATGAAAATTTAAACAGTGCAGAATTTGATATTCCTCTGGTTTGTTCAAGTTTAAGTGACCAAATAAATGAGACTGGACATGAGAATTTTGAGGGCACTTGAGTGAGATCTAAACTCACTGAGTGGCATAGATATGTAAGTGTGTGTGTGTATGTGTGTGTGTGTGTGTGTGTGTGTGTGTGTGTGTAGTGTTGTAGTCCACGCAATGAGTGTAAATGAGACTGGAGAATAGGTTTGAAAATATAGTGAATTAATTAGAATCAACAATTTAATGCTGCTATTGAAAAAAATGTAGTATCAATGGTGTCCAGGTGAAATACCTAGTCCTAAAACAGTTATGTCTTGAGTTGCTCTCCTTAGAGCTGATAGGACCAAGCATGACATCATGCAATCTATTAGACAACACTGCAGAAACAGCTTCACAAAGGAGTCCAGGCAATGAAGAGCCCAAAGACCAAGGTGAATCTAAGAGACGTTGAAGCAAATACAAGTGTTCAAATATTAGAAAAGCGTTAACATAAAACTGAATTTCGACTACTACGTACTTATATAGTCAACGTGCATTTCTAAGGCCACGGAAGCAGTACATTCCTCACACACAGGTGTTTCATTGGGGTTAAGGAAGACTTGGGAAGATTTGGGAGAGACAACAACAAGTTCAGACAGAAAAGGGCACAAATCTTTAAGGTACTTTCCAACCTTAGACCTGTGATTCAGGATGACACGTGTAAGAAACATCAAGGAGGCAAAATTACTTCCATGGACTTCCTGGCAGATGTCACTTCTGAGTTCTTAGTGTATCCTTTCAAGATGTAGCTGGCAACCCACCCAACTGTACCAAGTTTCCTCATTGAAATGGCACAGTATTTGCTAAGGTCCCTAAAGCTAATAGCCCATACACTTTAGTAAGTATTCTTGAGTAGCATTTCTGACCACAAATTACCCATATACCCCAGCTCAGTGAATGTATCACATGCATATTTGGTGGGCTGAAAGGACTTTTCAAAGAAGACATGAGAGCTTCAAAGGAAAGCAAAGAAAATGAGTCCTGCTTGGCTGTGCATGTTGGCAAAGACAGGGCAATCCAACTCTGAGTCATGGATAAGCCATATTGAATCATTGTGAGCATAATGGACTTTCTAGTCCTTAAATGCTCACATGGGGTAAGGAGAGTCCAGGAAGAAGGGGCGTGGACACAATGCCCTTCCCATGCCCCAAAACAGAAAGTAAGTTGGTTTGACATGGCTGAACTTGTCAGTGATATCTGCTCACATCTATCTTGCTCAACAATACATTTGTATTGGGAATTTTAAGATGGGTTCTAGCTGTGCTCCTTTCTTTGAAATTCATTTGCATAGGGACAATTTGAGTCACCTTGTTTTCTAGTGACTTGTTCAGAGAAGGCTTAACTCCTAGATGCAAAAAAGTATTTTTGGCCATCACGTAACTGAATTCTGTCATTAATTGGTTTGGTCCTTTCGTGATTGAGTACTGATAAAATTATGCCAACCAGGTGGTGAGTCCTGAGGAGTTTGGCCACACTTGTTCAGTTGGCTGTCTTTTTAGGTAAGAGCCTGAGCCTAGAGCTCACTAATGTAGTCAGCATCAGGAAATGAACAGACCCCTGGGTCATTCTCTCTATCGACTTCTCCTAAGGCTACACAGAGCAAGGGATTTCCTGGGTCACCAGGTAAGTGGGGGAAAAGTCTCCTCCACCAGGCTTTAATAAAGAGCCCAACTCAACCTGAAGGTTCTTAACGTATAAGCAAGGGTCTAGGGTATACTTTTGGAAATAAGAGAATAATTCAATAGTACAGGGTATGTTTAGCATGCACACAGCTCTAGGTTAGATTCCTAACACATACAATAACTAAAAAATAAAACATTAATTTCTTCTAGCCCTGCTCCCACCCTCAGCTGCTCTGCCAGCTCACTAATAAATGTAATAAACTGTCTATTTCTGATCAGTACCCTTACACCATCACTACTCCTTCTTTTCAGGCCTTTTCTGGGCACTGATTTTGCTAAGGCAGCGTCTTCACTGTATGCATGAATGTGATCATCACTGTATCTTCCTGGTCTCTGCTCCTTAAAAGCTTCATGGGCAGCTGGAAATGTACTATGAGGTTGGGGAAGCAGGGATTTAGAGCAGAATGCTTCCCCACCCTACACTCTATGGCAGGCTGACTTCTTTTCAAATCACCTTCATGGCTACATGCCTCCATTCCCTTATGAACACAGTTTGAGGCTCTGGCCCCTCTGTCCATCCCACTTCATGTTGCCCATCTAGTGACATGGCACCCTACCCACTTATGAAGTTCTAGGCCAGATGCAATAGGAAAACATCAAACAACATATCTCACATATCTACAGGAAAGCTCAGGAGCCTCAAAATATGGGGGCTTCTCCCTTATAGCTTCCTCTTTTTTTTGGACAGGTTTCACTACTGTGTTGTTGATCTTTAGCTCATGAACTCAAGAGAGTCTTCTGCCTCCACCTCCCAAGTGTCTGGGACTACAAGCATGTGCCCCAAGGGGCCATTTTCCTTACATCTAGTACAATGATTCTCAACCTGTGGGTTGCGACCCCTTTGAGGGCTCCATATCAGATGTGTACATTATAATTCATTACTGTAGCAAAATTACATTACTATTAAAGGGTCACAGCATTAGGAAGGTTGAGAACCACTGATCTAGATAGAGGCTGGATCATAATCAAATTATTCAAAAACTTTCATAGCCTATATCAGGAATATGATAAATACAAGGAGGGATACTACACATTAGTTTTTTTGGACAGAGGAAAAAGCAACCATGAATCTTCAGAGCTAAACAGTGAAACAGGCAGACAGTATAGTGTATAGTCAGCTCCCTCTCTCCACAGGGGTCCAGTGAGCTCCCACCAGTGAAACTGTGGGCAATGCTGAGCTTCACATATGCCATTTTATCTCCAACACAATATATATTGTGATAAAATTTAATTTATAAATTATGTCCAATAAAAGATTGACAATAATTAATAATAAAATTAAAAGTACCACAGCAAAAATTAGATGACTATGACCTTTTTCTCTCTCTGGATTTGACTGCACTGTACTCAGCCCTATTCTTGTTGACCATAGTACCTAACACAGCAGAAAGTTGTGGATCTCTGCCTCTGCTTCCATCAGTTACTGGGTGAAGGTTCTATGATGACAATTAGGGTAGTCATCAATCTGATTACAGGGGAAGGCCAGTTCAGGCACCCTCTTCACTATTGCTTAGAGTCTTAGCTGGGGTCATTGTTGTGGATTCCTGGGAATTTCCCTAGCATCACGTTTCTCCATAACCCCATAATGACTCCTTCTATCAAGATATCTCTTTCCTTGTTCTCTCTCTGTGTCCCCCTCCCCCACCCCTGCCCCAGTTTACCCAGGAGATCTTACCTCTTTGCTCTTCCTAGGGCAATCCATGCATGTCCCTCTTAGGTTCCTCATTGTTACCTAGCTTCTCTGAGTTATGGATTGCAGCCTGGTTATCCTTCGCTTTGCATCTAATATCCACTCACTAGTGAGTACATACTGTGTTTCTGGGTTACCCCACTCAGGATAATTTTTTTCTAGTTCCATCCATTTGTCTGCAAATTTCATGGTATCGTGATGCAGAAATTCACAGCGAAGCACTAGGCTGAGCTCCTGGAGTCCAGTCGAAGAGAGAGAGAAGGGACTATATAAGAAAGGGAGGTCAAGATCTGGATGGGGAAATCCACAGAGACAGCTGACCCGACCTAGTGGGAGCTCATGGACCCTGGACTGACAGCTGGGGAACCTTCATAGGACCGAACTAGGGCCTCTGAATGTGGGTGACAGTTGTGTGCCTTGGGCAGTTTGTGGGGCCCCTGGCAGTGGGGCCAGGATTTATCCCTGGTGCATTAACTGGCTTTTTGGAGCCCTTTCCCTAAGGTGGAATACCTTGCTCAGCCTCCATACAGGAGGAGCTTGGTCCTGCCTCAAATTCTTGATATGCCAGACTTGTTGACTCCCCATGGGAAGCCTTACCCTCTCTGAGGGGTGGGGTAGGGGGAGAGGAGAATCGGGAGGAGGGGAGGGAGGGGGAATTCTGGTTGGTATGTAAAATAAAGAAAAAAACTTTTAAATAAAAAGAAACACTAAAAAAAAAAAACCAGCAGATCGTAAAATGGTAAAGAGAGCCTACTGCACCTCTTCCTGTCTTGAATTCAGAGTCTGTTCACCTTTCTCCACAAAGAGTTCTCCATTCTCCAAAGACTGAATTTAGAAATGAGGGTGAGGGTACCCCGACAGCTTGTTTCAGTGTGCAGAGACAGTCTACAGAACTCAGAAGTGCTTTTCCTTGGTTCCTTCTAAGGAACCAACTAATAATAGCAATACATTTCCACATGTGTATTCAGAATCTACTTAACAACCTCAGGCATCACCTAGTGACTCCCGGTGGGGGACCTAAATTTACAGTCATCAACTTACACATAAACTTTGCTCTGACTTCAGCTAACTAGGATTTTGTTTGAGTTTAAGTTTTTAGAAATTGGATAATTTTTGTAGAAACCATGCTATTCTTTATTGTTATATTTTGTAAGAATTTAAAAATCAAGATATAAAAGGATACACAGAACTTCATGAAATTCCATTCAGCTTCACCCTCACGTTAAAGTTTCAGGTGACTGTGGAATAATACAGAACAATTATAAAAATCCTAAAAACTAGCAGTGATACACTCTACAAACTTGTCTGCACCCCTCATCTGAATGTATTCGTTGCCTCCCATGTCTTATTGTTTCAGGACTTAATTGAAGATCCATCTTGCATTTGGTTGTCATGGTCCATCCTTTCTTCTAACCTCAGACGCTTCCTCATGACCATCATGCTCGTGGAAACTACTGTCTCATTTTTTTTTAGACTATCCCTCAATTTGCCACTTCTGTCTCATAATTAAATGACATTATGTATTTTTGTTCAAAGTACCAAAGATGCAATATGAGCCATCTCAGAGCACCAAGTCATGAGATAGATACTTGGTACGTGTTCTTAACTATGATAACTTTGGTCACTTAAGTGCTATATTCAGGTCTGTCTATTGTTACTGGTCCTTCCTTTGGAACCAGACTTTGTGGAGGCTCAATTCCAGCATGGTAGTTCCAGTGTAGTGATCACTGTGCATTTCTGGTTGCTTGTAAAGAAGGGAGGCCACAGTGTACCCCTTCCCCCCTGGATCTATGTTTACAGAAAGGGATAGGCGGTGCAAACACTGCCCTCTGTGCCACTGTCATTGGCACACGTAAATACAGTGACTTGAAGAAAAGTGATTAATCTAATGGTAAGACTTGTAGGTCTTTAGTTTTGAACAAGTCATTAACTTTCTCTTCAGCAAACACTGCTAATAGCGTCTATCTTGGAAGATGGATTTCAATCTTAGATTGGAAATATAAGGTTCTCAGGTGGAACTAAGCTGGTAGTACTTGCTTAATGGAAGGATATCAACCATCCCAGGTAGGAGATGGAATAGATGTGTCTATTCAATGTAACACTGGTCAACTGCGTGTTCTTGTGCCCCCTTCTTTAGTATTCATAAGTCATTCATTTAAAAAGTCTCAATTGAGTGCTTACCGTGTGCAAAGTGTTGAATATGTAGTTACTTCTTTCATAGAAACTCTGTTCTAGAGGAAAGGAAAGCCAAGAAACAATACGAAATGAAACACCAAATGAAATCAAACAATATCAAATGAAAACACACACACACACAGACACACAGACACACACACACACACACACACACACACACACACACACACACACACCTGCCTTTACCTTCATTCCCCTCATAAAAGGGAAACATTTATTTCAGTTTTCCTTCTCCACTGTGGACACGTCAGGATACTATAGCAGCTATGTTCTGACAAGGAAATAAAAATCATGCTAAGGTCTGATTATACAATTTTTTCTCTGCCTAAAAACAATCCCCAAGTATATGATTAACAGTGCTACTTCAGCATAGAGAATTAAGTTGTTAAAAACCTGGTGTCCCACAGCTTAAATATTGTCGCATTACATTAAAATACATTATACTTAGAAAAACCAAAAACACATTAGGCCTGGCTCTCCAGTGCTCAGAGCATGACGAATCCATGTAAACATCTTGGGAAGTTCTTTGTCATCTAGACTGGAAAGGATGTGCAGGTTTTCTTGGGGTCTGTGTGCAGCTGTAACTCCTGGTGTCCCATGATGGGCTCCTGGCAACACGTGACTCGTTTCTGGTTGGACAGTGATGACATGAGCGTTCATTCTGGCATGCCACTCCTTTGCCTCAAAATCACTGTGGAAAGTTGAGAGCCTGTGCCATAGGTTGAAAAGGACTGTTCCAAAGGACTGATTGTCTATGATTAGAATAAGCTTTGGTTTGAAATGGGAAGAGAGTAGGGCCTACCCCTCCCCCACCCTTGATAGTCTCAATTTTATAAAGAACATCTGTGTAGGAGATTGATATCCCTCTGCTCTCCTTCCACAATAAAACAAAATTCACTTATTGAAGTCTTGTCTCCAATTCCTTGGAATATGACTTTATTTGAAGATAAAAATTCTCCCCAACATAATATTTTTATTAATTATTTGGGAATTTTGTACAACGCACCCCATCACACTCACTTCACATTCCTCCCAAGTCCACCCTCCCACCCCTGTGTCCCCGCGCATGCACACACACACACACACACACACACACACACACACACACACACACACACAAATGACATAATCAAGCTAAGTTGAGAATATCAGAGTAGGCTCCAATCTGATATGGCTGTTGTTGTACCAAAGAAAGAAATTTAAACACAGAAACTTCCACCCCAACTATCTTAGTTAGGGTTTCTATTGTTGTAAAAAGACACCATGACCATGGCAACTATTATAAGGAAACATTTAATTGGGGTGGCTTGCTTACAGTTTCAGTCCATTATCATCATGGCAGGAAGCATGGTGGCATGCAGGCAGACATGGTGCTGGAGCAGTGGCTGAGAGTCCTACATCTTGCAGATGACACTGAATGAAGCTTTAGCAAAAGACCTCAAAGCCCACCTCCACAGTGACACAATTCCTCCAAAGCCACACCTGTTCCAACAAAGCTACACCTCCTAATAGTGCCACTCCCTATGAGATTATAGGTCCAATTATATTCAAACGACCACACCTCCATACAGAGGAGACCTAATGGAGGGGAGGGAGAGAGAGAGCGAGAGAGAGAGAGCAAGAGAGCGAGAGAGAGCAAGAGAGAGAGAGAAACATCCACAAGCCAAGGGGAAAGAAGGTAGACTCCTCCCTGAGAGGCACCAGAAGGAAGCCACCTTCCAGATATTTCGGTCCTGGACTGCTGGCCTCTGTTATTGAGAGACATAATTGTTGATATATAAGACACCTACTCTTTGCTATGTCAATTCTACCAAATAAACACAACATGTATGACTTGAGATAGACAGAAATATCTGCCATCCAAACAGTTAAAAGGGAAAGGAGTCTCCTACCCCAATTCAACCCCTCCCTACCTTACCCTCACCATAAAACCCTGCAACCTCTAAAGTGATGGTTCTCAATTCTGCTTATCCATCCTTAGAATCACCTGGAATTAAAATAAAATAAAAATAATTAAAGACATGGGCATGGGATATGGAATTTTCCAAAGCTTTCCAAAGAATTCTCCTGTGTAGAGGGGTTTAGAAACTCTTACAACCATTTACTGTCATGATCCTTGATTCAGGGCCCCAAGATTAGCTGTGGTGGAGTCTCCTGGAACCTTGTTAGAAAGTCACATTCTTGGGCTCCATGAAAAAATTGCCTAATCAAACAATCTTAAACAGGAATCTAAGAACTAATGTCCAAACAGGTATGTGATATGTTCCACATTTGAGAGAAGTTCATGGAAGGCACTGATGTTTTATGCATGATGGCCTCAGTAGAAGCAAGAAAGCTTTGATCCCTTTCCACCAGAGAGTATTCCTCTACAAAAGTGTGTATGTAACACTAGAAAGTTCAGAGTCTACGTCTGTCTGGTCCATGGTTCTAAAGAACTTTGGCACGCAATAGCAAAATAATAGATAAATCGGAAGCAAAAAACAGACCAAAAAAATCCCCACCAAGATAAAATGGGTGATAGACTCGGGTAGACATTTCTCAAGAGAAGATGTCCAAATGACTAACACAAATAGTAAAGACACATGCTCTGCTTCACTAATCATCCGGGAAGTGGAGCTGAAAACTCAAGTACCTAGCAATGGCTATTTCAAAGACAAAAGATAAGAGGTGCTGTCAGAGATGGGAAGAAAAAGGAGCCCAGCACACAGCTGGCAGGAATGCCAGACAATGTGGGAAGCAGCATGGAAATCCCACGGAAGTTAAAAATAAAGCTCCCATATGATCTGGCAATCTCTCTACCGAGTGTGTGTCCAAAGGAGATGAAATCAGTATGTGGAACACACATCTACACTGCCATATGACTGCAGCACTGTTCCTAGTGGCCAAGATATGGAAGCACCAACGTGTGCACCAGCTGAACAGATAAAGGCTATGTGGAGCGTATACACTACAGAATAATGCCCCCACCTGCATAAAAAGGGATGGAGTCCTGTCGTCCATGGCATTGTGGCTGGACCAGGAGATCATTACACTTGGTGAACTAGGTCAGGCACTGAAAGACAAGTATCACATGATCTCACTCCTGTCTAGAATATTGAAAAGTCAGTCTCATGGAAGAGAATGGTGGTTTTCAGAGGCTAGGAGAGTCATGTGGAGGGAGGGAGGGCAGAGGCTGATCAAAGACTGCTAGTTACGTGCAGACAGGAGTAAGAGTTCTGGACTGCAACAGATAATGACGTGTGTGTTTCCAATGCTGAAAGAAAGGATAGTAAATGTTTTCACCAGAAAGAAATGGCAGATATTTAAAGATATAGATGTGTTTATACTTTTCTGAACATGATACTGTATGTACATATATGTATATATTTATATACATATGTATACATTCAAATATCATATAATACCTCCATAAACATGGGTTTTATGCATCACTAAAAATACTTTTTTTAATTTTAAAAATAACTTGAAAGCCAGGTGTGATGGCTCATTCCTGTCACCCTAACACTGGGGAGGCTGAGGCCAACCTGGAACACATTGTGAGTTCCAGACTCCAGGGCTGCAGAGTGAAACAAGACCTAGAAAGCCCAAAGCAAAAACAAAAGAAACCTTTGCTATTCCAACTTCAAATTCCCAAACCTTATTTTTTTTAAAAAAAAAAGAAAGAAAGAAAGAAAGAAAGAAAGAAAAGAAAAAATTCTCACCTCTCCTTAACTATGTAATAAACTTCCCTATGCTTCCTGCCTGCCTGTCTAGCCATTGCGAGACAGCCTGGGTGGGGCTCATACCTCCTGCCTGTAGCTATCCGGTTTACAGGCCTGTGACTGAACTGTGTGCTCATCCACCTGATACAAATGGCAATATTTTTCCTAGACTCACATGAATACAAACAGACCAGCTGTGAAAAGATCAACATGTGTCTGTAAGTGCAAGATTTTTTTTTTTTGCTTCCAGTAGGGTGCATGAAGAACACAACAGCTTTTCTCAAAACAGAAACATCTTTATATGAAAGTGACAAAGGAGAGATGCCATGGCAGGGAAGATTTGTAATTAAAACACATCTGTGTCAATCAGAATACTTCTTGCCCTTATTGAGATAGAAGCGATGTATGCTGATACCAGTGTCAGAATCCTGAGCCCGAAACCAAGCTGACTTTTGGGTAGACATTGCTCTAAGCAAAACTAAAGGGAATATTGATAAAGATGATTTATTCATTGACTGACAGCCTCACATCTGGCATGTGCCTCCTGGGCTTAAGACCTAAGAAACACAGACAGGCAGACTGCCGAGGCACTAGGAGGTCAGTGTTTGTTTGGTGGGCACCCTCAATGACGTTCCTTGGCTGTGTCCGCTGTGGATCCAAGTTCTGTAGAATATCAATGCCCAGGCTGAAGTTTGCATTTTTCAAATGCACAGGGAAAAAGAAAGGGTGGTATGTTTTTATTTGCCTTTATGATTCTTACTAGAATAGAAATATACAGTCTTTTCAGTCATGCTGTGTCTCAGGCTCTAACAGGCTAAGGACTGAACAATGTAGCAAGAGTCTGGGCATCTTCAAATCCCTCACAATGTGCCAAGAGTGACCAGCTGGGAGAGGTTTGTTGTTCTTGATTAAGCTATGCTGTGTCAACTTTACTAGAACCTCTGATGACTTTTACCTACAAAAGAGTTGGGTGTTGTACACAGGCATGCGCATGTACATACACAGAGAAATATGTATGTTTTGTGAAAATCTCAAGACCTATCATCATTTGATACTTTTCCCTTTGTCAAAATTTCCAAATGATATAAAAACAAAAAAGCTATTTTAAAAAAATACAAAATATATTTCAATCTCCAATGCTAGTCTAGGAAAGAAAAATGAGGAGTCACATGACTGAAAGTCCATATTGGTGTGAGATTTGAATACTTAGATGTAACAGCAAGCTGATTCATATTGGATTTTTGTATATTCTGGACATGTAATGAGTTATTGATCCATGATAAACTAAGCTGACATTTGTAACTAATATACCATCAGTGTATCCAGTAAGAACAGGTTCTGGTGATGTTTGCAAACAGCTGTTGCAAAGGGATCATACACACATCTACAAGCATGCCCGTTTGTTCACACTGCTGAATATGCACAAAAGATGTTTCCTTATTCACCTTAGTAGCCCTTGACTGGACGTTTTCAAACTCCTCTTTCCCTGATTATTTTGTTTTGTTTTATTTTATTTAGGGATTTCAAAACTTGCTTTAAATCCTACCTTTCTTTAAGTATCTGAGGCTTCAAATACACAAAGTCTCATTGTTCAGTGCAAGCAATGGTATGAAGTTCTGCAACCTCTGTGCATCCCAAAGTTGTCCTCGGTAAAACTCTGCAAGACTCCTGAGCAGGATGTCTTGCTCACTCTTTCCAGGATGTGAAACCTCAGGGATTTCCCAGGGAATAATATAACTGAGCATCATGCTGTGGGATTTGCTCTCTATGGCTGCAGGTCTCACAAGCATTTTCGCAAATAAATATTAGGACAATTAGGGGGACAGTTCTCTGTCATGGTATCTTTACTTGGCAAAAGTATCAGGTAAACTGAGGAGGTGATGAGGACCTAAAATCTGTGTGAGCTTCTTGGAAGCCAAGCACTGTGAGGGACCCTTCTTCAACAGCACTGCCCTGTGGATTATTCCCATTTTGTAGACAAGAAACTGAGGTTGCTCTGCTGGAGTTCAGGTTTCTCTCATTGTGTCACATAGATAGTGACAGAGCTGGTGTTTGAGATTCTGTTCTGTGGACTGGATGCATATCACAGATGCAGTGCTTGTGACAACATCTGCCTCGGAGGTTTATTATTAAGTGCTGAACTTAGGGTTGGAATCAGTGGGAGCATAATACATGGAAGGGGCTACATTCATAGTCATTGTTTTCATCTTCATAAGTGTCACCATCATCTTGCATGTCCTCCCCACATGATCCTTGCCACCTTTTAGTAAGCTCTTATCGAATGACTGAATAGGGACATGATGTAGTTCCTGCCCCTCTTACTGTCCCTCTAGGCAGGTGCCGGGTTTTAAAGACCATTATAAGATGTGTCAACTGCATTTCTCTTGTCCAGAAAGTGCAAAAGCAACACAGATCTCTAAACTTGCAAGTACCAAGGGACCAGGACACAGGGACCTGAGTTTCTTTCCTTCTTAGGAGAGCAGAGAGCCACAAGGGAGCCGCTTCTGTTCCCAGAGTGTTTCTGACATGCACTGTGCTCAGTCATCATCCAACTCTTCCAAAACCCCCAAGCCTTGCCTTGATTTCTCTCTGAACTCCCACAGAAACTTCTGGGGACACCTGGAAACCCTCTACCGGTGGCCATGGCTTTTACTCACTTGCTACTTATTTTACTCTCCCACTATGAAAGATTGTGGAAATATTTTCCCCATTGATTCATTATTCATTGAATGCCATGCTTTACCTTACTTTTAGTTTATCTCTTCTTATTTTCATGCAATAATCCAATGAGCTATATTTGACAGAATTTATGTCCCTGGACCCCCTTAATCCCAACTATTTGATTTTTCAGCTGTCCTTTCATCTCTTTCAAACTGTCTCTTGCTATAACAAAGACACTCTGGTTATTTGAAGTAAAGTCTAATTAATCTAAATTCTTCACTGATCAAACCTTCGGAATGTTTCATCTCAATCTCGCCTTTTTAAGTTAGGTGAACCTTACAGTGTGCTCAACACATGTCTTAGTTACTTCTCTGTTGCTGTGATAAAATACTCTAACAAAAGCGATTTAAGAGAGAAAAAGATATAATTTCGCGCACAGCCCATCCTTCCAGAGAAGTTAAGTGGCAGGGAGCTTGGAGTACCTGGTCACATAGCATCCACAGTCAGGAAAGGAAAGCAATGGATTCTACTGCTCTTCTGGCTTCCTCCTTTTTATGTGGTCCAGGATCCCACCCACCCCCAGGGAATGGTGCCATCCACAATGGGTAGGTCTTCCTACCTCAGTTAATTTAATCAAGATAAAAAGCTACACAGAGAAACCCTGTCTTGAAAAACCAAAATAATAATAATAATAATAATAATAATAATAATAATAATAATAATAATAATCCCAAACTAACACAAACTGTTAATTGGTCTTTCAATAAAAAGTCCCGGAGCCAGATATTGGGGTAAATGTTGCAAGATCAGAGAGACAAAGGAACAAGTCACTACCAAGTCTCACCTCTAGAACTCCATGAATCCTCTGACTGAAATCCTCTGAGTACTCAACCAAAAGGGATCCAGCTGAAAAGGCTCCTCAGCCAAAAGGCTTTAGTTCCTGTCTCCTCACGCCTTATATACCTTTCTCCGCCCAGCCATATCACTTCCTTCCTAGTGCTGGGATTAAAGGCATGTGACTCCCAAGCACCGGAATTAAAGGTGTGTGCCATCACTGCCTGGCTCTGTTTCTCTCCTAGACTGAATCAAGCTCATATAGTTCAGGGTGGCTTTGAACTCACAGAGATCAAGACAGATCTCTGCCTCCCAAGTGCTAGGATTAAAGGTGTGTGTGTCACCACTGCCTGGCATCTATGTTTAATCTAGTGACTGGCTCTGTCCTCTGATCTTCAGGCAAATTTTATTAGGGTACACAATCTATCACTACACCTTACAAGTCTGTCTAAAAGCTAGCTTCACTGAGCAACCCCTTGAAATACGCCTAGAAGCTTGTCACCTAGGTGACACCAGACCTACCTCATCAAGTTGACAATTGAGATTGCCCATCAAAGCATAAAACATCATCCCATTTATGGCCTAGCTGAGATACTGTCACATTTTCTGGGGAATATTCCCTTCATCTCTACCCTCTGCCCTTGCAATGCCCCCCCCCCCCCCCCCCCCCCCCCGCAACAAACAAAATTCCAAAGAAAAACAAAAAAGACAAAGACAACCAAACTAACTAACATACAAAAAAAAAAGTCTCACTTTGGAAGGTGCCATGTGACAAAGTGAGTCACACAGTATAGACCCTTCAGTCCATACATCTT